CCTACAAAGAGGCAGGCGTAGCTTGGGCCCATGCGGGTACCCATGGCTACCCCCTTTGTCTGTAGGAAGTGGGAGGAATTGAAAGAGAAGTTGTTGAGTGTGACGAGTTCGGCTAAGCGGATGAGGGTGTCAGTGGAGGAGGACTGGTCGGGCCTGCGGGACAGGAAGAAGCGGAGGGCCTTTAGGCCATCTGTGTGGGGAATGCAGGTGTATAGGGTCTGGACGTCCATGGTAAAGATGAGGTGTTGGGGACCGGGGAATTGGAAGTTCTGGAGGAGGTGGAGGGCGTGGGTGGTGTCACGGACATAGGTAGGGAGTTCCTGGACCAAGGGGGAGAAAATGGAGTCGAGATAGTTGGAGATCAGTTCGGTGGGGCAGGAGCAGGCGGAGACAATGGGTCGACCAGGGCATTCAGGTTTGTGGATTTTGGGAAGGAGATAGAAGCGGGCAGTGCGAGGTTGGGGAACGATGAGGTTGGAGGCCGTGGGTGGGAGGTCACCTGAGGTGATGAGGTTGTGGACAGTTTGCGAGATGATGGTTTGGTGCTCAGGGGTGGGGTCATGATCAAGGGGGCGGTAGGAGGAGGTGTCGGAGAGTTGGCGTCCGGCCTCGGCGATGTAGAGGTCAGTGCGCCATACTACAACTGCACCTCCCTTGTCCGCGGGTTTTATGGTGAGGTTGGGATTGGAGCGGAGGGAGCGGAGGGCTGCACGTTCTGCGGGGGAGAGGTTGGAGTGGGTGAGAGGGGTGGAGAGGTTGAGGCGATTGATGTCTCGACGGCAGTTGGAGATGAAGAGGTCGAGGGAGGGTAGGAGGCCTTGGGGTGACTTGTTATTCTGTAATATGACCGGATTAATTATTAATCTTAGAGTAAAGGTACACTTCGGGAGCTGCCACCACAGTATGATTGAATTTTAAATCCAGTTTGAAAGGGGGAAATTGGGACTAATGCTGGTATTTTAAATCTAAATAGGCCACTATATGGGCAAAAAAGGTAAGCTATCTGAAATGAACTGCCATACTAGGCTAGGGAATAGATTAATAGAGACACAGACATTTAAGGGACTATTTCAGAATATTCAGAATAAGTATATCCCTTACCATAAAGAAAAGTTCTAAAGTCAGGACTACCATCTGTGGTTAATGAAGGTAGTTAGGAAAAGCATAATACTTAAGGAAAAAGCATATCGCTGTTCAAAGTTGAGTAGCAGCTCAGAAGATTGACAGAGTACAAAGAATAGCAGCAAGTGGCTAAAGGATTAATCAACGGGAAGAAATTTTGAGTATGATCTGGCTAGGAACGTAAAAATGGATAGAAAGAGTTTTTCTAGCTATTTACAAAGGAAAAGAGTAAGTAAAGTGAGTGCTGAATGAGAAATTCATAGTGGGTATTAAGGAAATGATGGGAGGAAACTGGAGCACCCGGCGGAAACCTACGCAGACGCGGGGAGAATGCACACAGACAGTTGCCAGAGGCTGGAATTGAATCTGGCTCCCTGGTGCTGTGAGGCAGCGGTGCTAACCACTGAGTCACCGTGCCACCCCACTCAATGCTCAAACCTGTGAGAGACAAAAGATTTTAAGCGAGTTAGCCTTGGAGAATGGAGCCTTCACAGTGCTGACTGTTTGGTACATTGTCAGACAAGCTGGTGTGCACTACACGTTCTTCATCTGTGCATTGCAGTTTTATTCACCCTCTCCACTAGGGATTCTCCAGACACATCTTGCTCATGGTCATCCCATGTAGAATTAGGACAGAAACCATGCAAATGACAATTTCTCAACATTGTGAAGAAAATCAGGCCCATGATCTCTTTGAAGAGCAAAATAGGTTTAAGGGGGTAAATAGCCTACTTCATTGTTCCTATAAAGTACTCAAAGTGTGATCCAGGTGGGAGACAAAAAAACTGCAGATGCTGGAATCCAAGGTAGACAAAAAGGAGGCTGGAAGAACTCAGCAAGCCAGGCAGTATCTGGAGGAAAGGAGCAGTCAATGTTATACCCAAAACTTAATAACCCTTCTTCAGGACTGAAGTCTGAAAATGGGTTATACCTGAAATGTTGACTGCTCCTTTCCTCCAGATGCTACCTGGCTTGCTGTGTTCATCCAGTTTCCTGTATGTCTACCTTGTAATCCAGGTGAAACCTGTTTAAACCATACAAGGTTGACAAATATTAATCACAAGTTGTATCAAGTGCAAGTGAAGTTTCCACAATCTTTCTAATTAGTTTAGCACTCA